GGCTCGTCGCGAATTCAGCACCCGAAACGCGGAGAGCCGCTCGGCACCCCCCACGTTGGCCGCTTTCTGCTGGCCACAGCGCGATGCAGGGGAGCAAACCCCGGCGCAGCCCGAGCCGGGCTTTGTCCGACCTTGTTTTACTTGAACAACCCTCCCGGCGTAGGCGACGCACATTTGCAGATGCACCTGTCCCCCTCCAACTCACAGCGCGGTGCGTGCTCCGCTGTTACTAAATCCAGGATTGCCTCACGGTGCCCAGGCTGGAGAAGGCAGGAGCAGCTCAGCAAAGACATACCCGGGGGGAAAACACATGCCGTGCAGCTAGGTATTATCTTTGCGGCCCCTGGGGGAAGGAGGGCTGCGCCTCGCCTTCCGCATCGTCCCTCCGAACCGGAGCGCCTGACCCTGCTGGTGAACTTCTGAACCCAAATTCTCCAGCCCAGCCCTGACGCCCCAAAGCTGCTAGCTGTGCCTCCGCTCCAGCGCTCCGTGACAAAGGAGTCACCTGTTTTCGGACGGTTTCAGTTCCTGATCCGGTTTCCTGCTGGGCTAGGGCAGTGCCCGCGCGAGGAAAGGGCGGGACGGCGTCGCCTGGCTTAGGTCTGACCTGGGGAAATGCCTCGGTTTTGGGGCAGCGGAGGGGTCGGAAAGGCACCGCCGCACGTCACAGCTCGCCAGGGAGGCAGCAAAGGGCCGGCGAGCTCCCGCGAGCGAGACGCGGGGGCCAGAAACTAATGGCAAAAGGTCCGGCCAATGCGACCTGGGGCGAGGAAGTCGCACCCAGAGCTACGCCTCGGCGCGGGGCGACGCGTGCTTTGCTCGCTGCTTGCAACTTGTGCTTGGCTGAGAGGCACAGCCCCGAGGGGACCTTTTTGCCGATACAGGGGATTTGGAGAGGGGGGTGAAAAGAAACTGCTGGCGATATGAAAACTGTGCCACGGACCTGGGACAAGGTGAGCTGGAACTGGGATTTCGCTGGCTTGTCAAATCTACGTCTCTTGGGACAGCATGCGCACGGGAAAGCTACCAGGAGTTAGCACATAGGAAGCATCGCGCTACCACTATAAAAGGCTGTAATTCCTCCCACAGCCACAGAGCTGATTTGGGTAAATCAGTGTTAATCACAGATATGAGGCAGCAAATCATGAAAAACCAGTGCAGGCTTCCTGCCTGCACACTGATTTGTGTTAGACTTCTAGTGTCCGTCCTCCATCCTTGGCAGTTGTCGTGATCCCACAACATGCCAGCGTGCATAACAGAGGTTTCAAACAACCCTTTTGACCTGGCAGCGAGGTGCGAGTGAGCACGCAGCGACTAACCCTGCCCAGCTTCCAGTGCAAACCCGGCACAGCCCCTGCCGCGGCGCTGAGTCCGAGCAAGAAAGGACAGCACGCAAGGAAGAGCTGCTCCCTCGATACAAATGGAGTAAAGAGCTGCTTTATTGCCGAAACCGCTTAGTTTGACAGGCTTCAGTCTAACTTCATCCTCGGTTCTCTGTTTTGGAAAGACAAGGGGAGAGGGCCCAAGCCCCCTGGGCCACCTCAGGGCACCATGTGCCACCACTTGAAGGAGAAGGGCTGGCGGCGCACGTTGGTGCCGCAGTGGACGTCGCCGGCCAGCACGTGGTAGGAGGAGTAGTCGTCGATGAAGGTGCAGGTGAGCCCCAGGGGCTCCAGCAGGGACCGGACCTTCTCCTCCAGGCAGCACTGCCCGCGGACGACCGGCCCGAAGGGCTTGGGGATGCCCAGGTGCCTGCCCAGCACCAGCATGTTCACCTGCGGCAGGACAGGAGAGGCTGTGAAACGTGCAGCAGGGAACAGCCAGGAGCTTTTTCCATGCAGCAGGAAGCCGCCTGGCGCTTGCTGCGCCGTCAGGCCGTCAAGAGGCCCCAAGGAGCAAAGCGGGATGGATGGAGAAAGAGGGGACGGAGGGGAGGAAACCCAGGGGAGGGAAAGGGTCTGCCAGAGACGGAGCCTCGGCACAGAGAGGAGCACGACTGCCTCCGCCGGGCCCTCACCATGTCCGGGAAGAGGGCGTCCGCTCGGGCCTCCTTGAGCACGAAGAGCTGGGGGATGTCGATGATGTCGTGCTCGCTCAGGCCCAGCTCCTGCTTGAGGAGGTCTCGGTTCCAGTCAATGCAGCGCTAGGCAGAAGGAGGGAGGCGCGTGGGGAGGGGGCGCATGGTGGAGGCGCCCCTTTCTCCATGCTCAGACCCATGTCTGACCTTCACTCACGGTCAGACACTGACCACATGAAGATCTCCATCCAGACCGAAAGCAGGAGCAGAGCCTTTACTTGTGATCCCTGGCCAGCCTGGCCTCCCTAATCCCACATTTGCTGGCTGTCCCATCCCTTCGGGCTACCTCCTGCATCCAACCTGCTGCCTCGGCTCCCTCTTCTTTCTGATTTTTTGTGCCTCTAAAGTCACTTTTAAAGCATCTCTCAATGTGATTAAAGCCAGCACCCTTGTGTGTTCGGATGAGCTGGTCCCACACAGTGCCTGGTCCCCTTGTAACTGCTCTCCCTTGCACATATGCTTTCATCCAGAACATGCCAACTTTGCTCACTCTTCTCCCAGGGCTCATTATCTGTTTCATCAAAAATGATCCCCGCACCCAGAAATCATCTGGTAGCAACGTGTAAGTGGAAGAGATTTTGCAGGGAGAGCGTTGATGGAGCAAATAGACCCGGGCTTCGAAAAGCCGCGCGCTTCTGAAGAAGGCTATCGTCATGGGATCTGCCAAGTCACATTTTTGAGGGTAGCCTTGCCTTAGCTTAACAGTCCCCACAGGCATTTCCAGGGGTGCTGCGAGTCCTCCCTCCAGCTAAAGCTAATAGGCCACTGTAGATGTAGCACATCTCCATGCCTAGATACTGCAAAGGCCCAACCCAGGGGCATCTGCCCCCATGCTCAGCCCGTCCCTCTGATCTGAAGTGTCATGGCTCAGGCTTCGGTTAGCTGCTCGGCATCGCAGCCGACACACGTCGCCTTACTATGCGGGGGGAGAGGCGATAACAGACTTTTTGGTGCCGCCCGACACTTTGCAGCTTCCCCCGACCAGCCCTGGCGCCCACCTGCGCGTGTCTGTTGTCGCTCTTCAGCGTCTCATCTGCCAGGAGCTCATCGATGGTTATCCGCTCCATGTTCTTCAGCCCTGCTTGGGGAGCAATGCAGCGGTAAGAGACCTCGGTGGCCCCCGCCGGGCCTTGAGGACACCCTCACTGGGCCTCTTACCAACGAGCTGGGTGGCATCGCCATAACCCTGCTTTTGCTTCTCCTTGAAGAGCTTGTAACAGTCATTGGGACTGGCCAAGAGGAGCCGGAAACCCTACAGGGAGACAGCCGAGGTGATTAAAGCGTGACCGCGTTGGGCTTGGGTACGATATAGATATTACTTCATGACGCCGGCCCTTCAAGCGACTCAGCTTTGGCAAGACATTTTGGTGCCACGGCGCCTGTCAGCTGTAAACCCAACCCCACGGGCTGCAAGCTGCACAGGGCAGGGTGTTTCCAGGAGACTAGATGTTTCCTGGGGAATGGCAGCAAAAGAGAGTGAATTCAGCCACCGGCCTCATGAGGAGGGCCCCGAACCAGAAGAGGGATGAGTCAGGCACCGTTCCCTGCACCGCCGCTGGTTCACCGCGCGATGTGGAGCCACTCGTGCCTTTTCACGGTGCCCCAGTTTCCCCGTAATCCAACAAGACTTTTTTTTTTCCCCACTGGCTCCCACAAAGGGTTTTTGCATTTGCAGGAGAGGCTGCCCCGTGCAGAAGCAGAGATCGCTGCAGGGAAGGAGGGGGAGCGGCGGACGGTACCTTCCTATCATAAGCGGGGACAAACGTCAGGAATTCATCCACGTGGCCCACGCTCAGCCACTCCGAGTAGACTTCCACGGGCGCCTGCACTTTCTGGGCATAGAGGAAATCTCTGACTACCTTGGACATCCGCCGGCCGGAGGCCCTGGGAAGCAGAGGGAGGAGGAGGAAGCACACAAGAAGGGGTCGGGGTGCAAAGTGCAAAGTGGTTAGGCACAAATTTACAAGTGACACCATTTCCAGACGCCAAGTCGAGAGGAGAGACTTGGGCAAACCTGGTCACAGCTAAGCACGGCTGAGCAGAATAGGATGGATTTCCCATCCTACAGGACATGCTGATACTTCTGTCTGTTTTCCCCCAGTTCAGAAAGGAAGAGTTTTTAAATATCAGTGCTTCTCTGGTGGGCCAAAAATACACATTTGAAAAAGCCAGTTCTGTGTTTCAAATCAGTTCAGCATCAAGTGGGTTGTCCCGCAGTGTCTCCTTGGGAGGGGGGCTCCCGTCCCGCCTGCCGCTCGCACCAATTTTAATGTCCCACATCAGCCTGGCTGACCCCAAGCTCCTGCTGAAGTGCCCTGGAGTACTACGCAGGGAAGTATATCCATGCATGACATCTCCCTTTCTGCTTCAGCATCTTCCTCTCTAAAATGGGCACAAGGCTTAATTTAACTAGTCCTTGTGAGTATTAAATCACTCCTTACGTAACGCTTTGCGCGGGTGAAGTATTCTTAGACAGACAGAGCAGAAGCCCTCACGCAAGCTGAGAAAGCAGCAATTAAACTTTTCAACAGTCTTCTAATAAGGGATAATTATGGTTCTTGCGAATCTGGGAAAACTAAATTTACCTGCCATGCTAAACGAGCTACCTAACATCCCAGGCAGGGACCCGGGAGCCCTGATGCCCCATCCTCCGCTGGCACCGAGGAGCACGGCTAGCTCGGAGACGGGCATCACGCCGCTTGCCACCTCCGTGCTGCCACGGCTTAGACATCCCGGGTAACGCCCCTGCCGGATTCGCTCCCGGCGGGTGGCTTTGTTGTTTATCTCGGAGAACAGCCTCCTTTGTGGAGGATTTGCACTCTCGTTCCAGCTGAGCTGCCTAGCACCGCCTGCCCAGAGCAGCTGCCGAGGGCAGAGCAAAACAATTTCCAGTTATTCGAGATTTTACTCTTTCCTGAATTACCCCACCTTTTCTTTTAATGGGGGAAGGTTAAATAGCCTGGGTGCTTCGGGCGCCCCAAGGATCGGAGCAAAAGCACCAGCACAAAAAGTTTGGGAGAGGAAAAATAAGAGCGGCAGCATGCAGTATTTCATGAGCGGCAAAGGAACAGGGAAGCCGGCTTGCATGTTAAATCTGATCTCTGGCTGCTGAGCAGCTCCTGCAAAGAGGATTGCTATTAGATGGGAACGTGGGGTCAGGTCCCAGAAATCTGATCCGCGCGCCCTGGCCACACCACCATCCGGGCGTTATTAATGTAACTAACGTAAATTGGCCCAAGCCAGTGACTTCAGATTGAGGGACTGGCTTAGGCCTCTGTTAAGTCAGCGCCAGACCTCTTCAGAGCCAGGTCTGCCTGAATCTCACGCCGTCGGCCCCCGGTGGTAGCCTTCACTCTGCCCAGTTAAGCCTCTTCCCCCCAAAAAAGTCCTTTTATTTGGAGGGGAAAGTAGGTCTGCTGTTCGAATGCTGCAGTTCTGTACTCTGGGAATCACTACCGCCCCCACAGCCACCTTCCCTGCCCTGGACAGGGAAATAAGCTCTTGTTGTACTTATCCTGGGAGCAGATTTAAGCCCTGCGAGAGCCAGGACCCCAGATGCCTCTTGCATGCACCTCTGCCCAGACCGCAGGGCCGAGCTTTGGCCCCGCATCCCCAGGCCAAAGCAGCAGCAGGGCTGGGGGATGCAAAAGGGACGGCAGGGAGGCACGGACCCCTGCCCAGCCAGCCAGACCTCTGCTGTCCTCCTTGGGGGTTAGGCAAGAGGTAACAAGTTCCCCAGGCCCAACTGCAGCTCAAATGTCATCAAAGTAAATCCTCCCACCACTCTCCTATGGCAGTGAGACAGGGCTTCCTCCAGCTGAACTGGCAAGGGCAGGCCCTCTGCAAAATCTCTCTGCAGCCACCTGCAGCCCTTTCATCCCCCCGGGAACACTCTCCTATGCCCAGCTTTTCTATGCCCTGTCCCACCAAGACGAGAGCTGGATCAAGCTGGGCTGACATGTCTCCTTCTCACCAGGGGAGGGTGCTCCCGATGAGGATCCTTCCAAAAGGGTATTCCTTCCCTCGCACAGTCACTGGTGGGCTGACATCCAGGTTCCCAAAGGAGTCAAGGCTTGAAACGTCTTTCCCGGGAGGCTCCCGGGTCACATAGCCAAAATCAGGGCCCTGAGAAAGAGGGGAGCAGTGAAGACATGACAGCAGGACCTCCACCAGCCTGGCTCTGCCCGTCGGCATCCCCACGAGCGCATCCTCACGCCAGGTCTCAGCTAGCAAGCCCAGAGACGTGGGCTTTCCCTGTAGCCAAGAGACGGGCAAGCTCATGAGGAGGACCCGGGGAGCCTCAGGGAGAAGGGGATCAACCTCACGCTGGAGGAAACCTTACATACCAGGATCTTTTTAAAAGCAAAGTCCCTCAGGCCCCTGTTTCTGGGTGAGTCAAAGACCACAGGGAAAGTCTTGTGAGGTGCTTCTACATAGCCAAACTCCAGTTCATCCTGTTGGGGGAAAAAAAGGAGGAAGGATCCTCTTTTGGTGATAGTGATCTCGGGAGTGGAGCACAAGGAGCATGTGAGGTAGGCAAAGCGAGTGGTGAGGGTGGAGCAGGAAATCAGGCAAACCTGAGAAAACTCTCCTGTTGTCCTAACCCAAAGGGAGGCAGCTCTCCACCCACGGAGGCAGGAGGGCTAGGGGCTGCCACCCCAGCCAACGCAGCGGTGGCAGAGCCAGGCTGCCCTGGAGCAGACAGCCTGCAGCCGCAGCATCCCAGGGAACGGGGACAGGGACGGCAGGGCTCATGCGTGCCACAGGGAGCAAGCAGCCCATATACCCAGCACATGCAGGTCCTTGTTGCAGCACTGCGTGGTCCTTAGGTGACATCCCTGTCTACGCTGGCTGCCACCACCTGCAGAATTTTAGTTTTAGTTGACGGTTGCTAGGTTCACCTCTGCATATCCAGGTGCTTTCTGCTGAACAAGGCAGCTAATACCTCTCTGGGGTGTTAGTAACAGAGATAACTCCCTACCGTCCCTGTGAGAGCCTCTGAGCCTGTAAGAAGTGCCATGCAAGAGCCACATACTACTAGTATTGATTTATGACCTGGATCCAGCGGTCACTCCGGCTTTCAACGTCTGAGCAGATGGTCAGCTTGCAGTTGGCTTTCCTCAGCAGGACTTGGAGACCCTCCAGAAAGACATCATTGGAGTTTATGCCCTTCTCAATGCTGTGGGGAGAGCAAGGAGTAAAGACCGGGAGCAGAGAACCCAAGGGCTCATGAGAAGTACCCCCACTGCCTGATCATGCAGCCTATTTCTCACTCACAGTGCATTAGGTTACTGTCACCCATGAGGTGACACTTGGAGAGGGTCGAGCTCTACGGCATCAGGGCCAAACAGAGCCTGCATCCTTTCTCCCTGGGGTTGCAATGAGTGCAACAGTGCCAGCCTGGGACCCTACCGGTATATTAGGACTCCTGCACGGCGCACATAAAGCATGGCTTGCCCCGTAGCTGATATGTAGTAAGGAAGGGTTGAAAGCTCCTCCTGGGAGAGTCTCTCTCTCCCAAGGTAGAGCGATGCCCCTCCTACCTGCAGACAAAAACCTCCACAGGCTGCTGGGTGTTTGGGGTCATTATCCAGGGTGCCACTCGGAAAACCACCGTATCAGTGAAAATCAGGGTGCCTGGTGAATACTGCAAGAGGTGAAACACCCATGAGTCACAGTGAAAATCCTATTGTCGGCTTTGCAGAGGACAGGAACAGGACATGCTCTAGGATGGCATGAGACAGAGGGACGCCAAGCCTTACCATTGCAGTGAGAGAAAGTATCTGTCTGCCTGCACAGGCACGATCCACAAGTCCCTCATACCTTATGGGTGACCTCCAGCAAGCTGACACTGAAGGACACCAGCCCAGAGAAGTCAGCATCTGGGAAAGAAAGTCCTTCCACGTAGAAAGTATTGTCTCCTCCGCTAATGTGGTCTAGTACGTAGGAGAGCTTATTCGGACCCAATACAGGTTCATACTCGGGGTGTGAGTCATGACCTGGAGAGACAACGAAATGTCCAGCACAGCACGTGATGAGCAGCTCATCCATGGGGATGGAAAGAGGCAACAAAGAGGAGGTGGCTGATGCCGGCGTGGTTTGCACAGGAGTGGGTGTGCATCCTCTTCTCTAGGGAACACACTTGATCTTCCTTGTACAAAGAGGACTCTATACCCTAAGGTCAAACCCTTTTATGGTGCATGCCTAGAGTTAAGCATCTAATGATATACTTGGGCTCCCTGACCTGATTTTCAGTGGGGAACTGTAGGTATTCAGTTACTGGGGTGTTCAAAGGGAAACGTGAGCAGCCCAACGAGATGGGCTGCTTTGATCACTGTGTCATACCCAGCATTAATTAGGGAGACGGTGCCAGAAGCAGCATGTGAGTTATCAGCCCTGAGTCCTGCTAGATCCCACCTTTCCCGCAGCGCTAGAGCCATGCCCATGTGACAAGGCGTGCGCATCTGTGTGTGCGCACGCAGCGTCGTGCCAAGGTGGGAGGCGACAGCTGGGGCGGAAACCCTCCCTTGCCCGGGCGACGAGTACTATCCCGCTGTGGATATGGCCCGCTCTCATCCTCTCGCTTGAGTGACACCAGTTTCCTCCTTATGTCGTCCTCACCTGGAGCTTCCCAAGCTTCCTCCATTGGAAAATCCTTCCTACGCATCTACACCCACGTGACAGTGACGTGTAGTCGTGAATCCTCGGCTCAATTTTTAGGGATAAGAAGACATCAGCGTTTTTAGACCTGCCTGGTGTATGCACAGCCTGTACCTTCAAAGCCCGCTCTTCACTGGGTAAGACTAGCATGAGACACAAGCCTTGTCTTTGAAATTTCAGCAGTCACACTGAACAAAGCATTCTTTGTTACTTTTCCCTAAGCAGCCTTCGAGTTTCTCATAACTTAGTCTTCTAAACAGCCAGAGCAGGAAAGAGCAGAGGAGCTTTTGAGATAAGCAAGCATTTCCAGAGATCAGAGATGCTTGATCCCTAACTATAGTGAACTTTAGTGCACTAATAAAAAGTGGATTCACCCACCTCAGGGTCTTACAGGGAGATGATAGGACTGCACAAATATCTGGGAAGGAAGGAAGAAGCACTTACGAATAGCATGGAAAACTCTCACTTTGTCTGCATCCGACTCAGGGACATGAAGGACCAGCTGATACTCAGCAAAGATAGCGCTGGGGCCTTGAGTCCTCAGGATCATAACAGACATATCTTGAAGGTCTACAAGGAAAGAGACAGTCAGGAGTCTCACTACAGGGCCCTAGGGAGGTTTCCAGCCTCAAGCACTGACTGTAGCCACTGGTATCCTCTGCCCAGACTTTGTTCACCTCTAGATTTATAGGGCATACCTCCTGGGACTATGCATGCTACTAGCACTGGTTTTACAGAGATGTCTGGGAGGAGAAAACTTCCTTGCCTTGGGAAGGGAACAGAGGTGAAGGCAAAGGTTTTTGTTTCTGTTGCAATGGGGAAGCAGGTTAGAAAACGGAGCATCTGTTGATAACTATAAGGTGACAGCATGAAAGCAGCACCTCTTCTCCTAACTGCTTTGCAAGCACCTAAGGCCATAGGTCAGTGGCATGTTATCTTTGCAGGTAGAATCACCATCACCAGACTTGGGAAACATGGTCAAGCACGGCCTCAGCATGGGAAAGGAGAGCAACAGAGGCATCACGAGCACAAAAAGACCCAGATGAGGACCTTCGGCTCCCCTTGAGTGCTGCATATAAGCAGTCACCTTGGATTACGTGCTTTGGGTCCGCTACAAGGGCACGCGTGTGCCCAGCCAGGAAGATGTGACATCCTTTAGGCTGGCCCTGGTGAGCGCCCAGCGCCGCTCACCACGCGTACCTGCGCTGGTCTGTATCTCCATGTGACTGCTGTCCATCCCCACGGAGCTGGGGCTGTCCCGGTCACAGTTCACCAGCAGCACGGCGCCTTGCCCGTCCGGGCCCCATGTCCATTTTGCCTGGAGAAGAAGTGCCAAAAGGAGACGGGAGAAAAACCACAACATTTCCTCCCTCCTGTCCTCCTCCCAACAACGTCCCGGCTGGGAAAAACCCCAGGCCACGTCCACGCTTGGAGGAGATGCCCACAAGAGTTAAGTAACATGCAATCAGCCCTGGTGTAGAGAAGGCGGTGATGCTTTTAACCCACTAGATTTCCTAACCTCTTAACCCACATGAAAACTGCAGCTTCTAGCAGGGCCATCGAGGGCTATTGCAAACAGATGTTATCTTCTAACAGCTCAGAGTGTATCTGTAAGCCCTCATTTGGACAAGAATATGCCATTTCTAGAAATGCATCTGATCTTGATATACAATTTGTGCTGTTGTAATTCTGCTGTAGCCAATTACACAGGCATAAGTGCTTGGGCTTATGCAGATTTACGGCCAAAGGGGTAAATCTCTTGCTGTTTGCAAAACCCGCGACTGACTCATTTAGTGGCACGTTTCACGTCCAAAAAGGAAAAAAAAAAGGCAGAGTTTTCTCCTATATGGCTGCTTCTGTCCAAACATCCTTGGGGCTGGACTTGAGAGTCAGGAGACTGGCACAGAGAAAAAAAAGAAAGTCTTTCCTCCGAGATTAGTAGGCTAAGGGAAAATGATGCAGCAAATTCTAATTCAGACACCAAGGAAATGCCAACATCACTCATGTCCCTCCTCCTAGAGATTTTCAAGAAACACGTTGCAAGTGGATGCACCCTGCATTTACCCTCCATAAACTCAACGTTTCATAAAACCGTGAAGCGTTTCTCATTACCTTGTCCTTTCCTTTGCTCTTCACTCTGCCGTCACGGCTCAAGTCAACATCCAGGGATATGTCTGAAACATCACAGAGAGAGAAGGAGGCCACCGGCAAGAGATCGAGCTTTCTGTGGACAGCGCTGTTTTGGACTCACCCTGAGCACCAGCCATGAGTCAGCTAACATCAACTCCACCTTCGTCACCCCAGATAAGCTCAAAACCTGAACAGGACCCTTCTCTAAAAGTCAATCTGACCACTTTTTCCTGGTTTTCTCCCTTTGGTCTCCAGCCGTCTTCTCCCGTCTTGATTTCCCTGGGTGGGGGGCATACCCACTTCTTTTGTATTTTTACCAATTTCAGATTGACAGTGGCAGTTTTTTGGTGAGCGAAGGTGAAATGGGGTGGAGGCACGAACGAGTGTTTTCACCATGGTCGAACGGACACCTAAGTAATTACTAAGGGCGAGGCAATGTTTGAGAAGGACTTTCCCTTACAGAGCTCTTCCTTCTCTGTCTCCGCCGGAACAAAGACGAGGTTTACCAACCACTTTTTCCTGAGCCTGTGTAAATCTGTAATAAGCCTATCCCAATAGAGGGAGATAATGTGTGCTAAAAACGCAGGCACAGAAGAGAGTGTCCTTCATGGTCAGAAAGGAGTACGTGGAGAAGCTGAGCCGTGTCTTTGTAACCCAAAAACCCCGTGGAAGGCAATGGCCAGGGATGGCTCAGAGCGGAGCCCATCAGTCATGGGAAATGGGAAACAATCAAACTCTTCAGGTACAGTTCTCACAAACATGTGCATGACTCCAGTACACAGGTCTGGCTGTCATGTGAGCACTTTAGAAAATCCAAAATTTAGGATAATTAATCCATCCAAACGTAAATCTCTGCACCCAGACTAGTTGTCTGGACTCCCTTTGTAGTCAGTAGAGGAAAATAGGCACTTCAAGGCAATGATTCATCTCATCCTAAACTTCTAAAATAGGTCAGACAATTACACTTTGGTACTTATTTCTCTCCACTAGCTAAAACAGAAGTTGAGGAAGTGAGCGGCATTGCAGACAGGTCTAAAGCTAGGTGAGATGGTCTCATTTGAGTCCTCCTCTGCCAACCAAATGGTCTTAGAGGCCAGAGAAAGCTGGCTTGGTGCGTGCATTGGGTGGGCACATCGCACATTTTTGTTGTGCCATATAAGGCAGCACAATAACATTTTAATTATTTCTCTCCTCGTTGTGAGGTTAGGTTGTTAACATCCAAACCTGCACTATGCATTCAGGCTGGCGGGCAATTCGTGCACCCTGGTTAATTCCGGTTCAAGAAACAAAACTAGATTTGGGCATCTGAAAGAGCAGACTATCTTCAGACAAGGGTTGCTGTAATACTCACCTACACAGGTGAGATACAACCAAGCCACAGTGAGTTCATTCCCTTCCCATCCGTAGTATGTAATCTTAACCTGTGAAGATATCACCAGATCACTACCCGTTCCTAAGTCCTATATCTTCCTATGCTGAGTAGGTCTTTCCACTCACTGGGTTGACCCAGCAGTCCTGTAAGTTGTTGGTGGGACCATGAAGGCCATGCCTCATGGTTAAGCTGAATCATTTGTGTCTGCTTCAGCACAAAACAGGCACAGAAAAAGAAAGGTTAAAGTATTTTCATTGTCTTGCATGAAGTAGCTGACACCAGCTTTTGCAACAATTTTTTCATTTTTAGGTCATAAAACGTGACTTCCTCCTTTTTTTTAGTTTCATTTTTCATACACAGTAATTATATACTTCTGTTTCGGTTTGAGTTTGTTCCATGGAAACTTGCGTGATATCAGTGCTACCTGGAAACGATCGAGCACATGCTCTTTCCTTACTTCCTGGAAAAATCAAGTTATTTTTCCAGAATCTCTCTGTACATAAAAAGCAACTAACCTTATTGTCATTGACGGTTCTGCTGGTGACATCAACGGTCACCACAACCTCTATATCAGGATCCAGCGGCCATCGGGAGGTGTTCAGGGGCTTTGTCACGGGGTTGTGGATGACATGGACTATAACTGCAGAAGTGGCGTGGACCTCAAATGACACGGCACCTTTAGGGGTAGATCTGAAACAGAAAGCAGCCCTTGGTTACAGACAGACTTGTCCCTCCTGTTGTTTTCTGTGGACCAAAAGAGCTGAACTGAGCTCGCTGAAAGTAAATTCAACGGTTACTGGGTTTAATAGGCTGAGAACCATGTTTGGGTGCGTCATCTGAATTTTGTATGTATTATCTCTGTGGTGGTGCTGAGCAAACACAGTTCCTGCTGGAAGGAAGGGAGCTTCAGCACGTCCATCCATGGTTAAGTAGAGATGCTTAGGCCTGGGCATCCAACCTTCATCATTTTGACCTCCCTGAACAAGAACAGTGTAAATAAAAAAACGATTTCAGCATCCCAAAGACACTGCAAACCTGGGAACTCAGACTAGAGTAGACTAGTCTGCTCGGACCCAGACTAAGAGCTGGGACAGTTTTTGATGTCACCTCTCCAGGGTGGGTGGTTAGCGGTCCTACATGGGGAGCAACGAGGTGCATGGATCCACTATTTTGCATCCCAGTGCATCCCTCCATGAGAGAAAATTGGTTTCAAAGGCAGAAGTTGTAGTTTAAGCTACTGTCTCTCACCCAGCGCTTAGAGGAGGACCACGCTTGGCCAAAGGCCATGCAGCAGCGACTCATCACGCCACCATAAAGGCCTCCGTTGGCCCCTACCCTGAATTAAAAGATGCCCGAATAAAAGACAAAACGTCCAGCCCATGTGCAAGCACACAGAGCCCAAACCCCACCTCTATAACATCCCTCACCTTTGAAGTGCTGCCTACATGCTCATTACATCCCTGGCACCCTCATCTGGGGAGCGGGAGTGCTCCAACCTGTCTGCGATTTGTAACCTGCCTTCCTGTGCACACACAAAAAGGGATAAGGTGGTAAATTTTAACCACAAGGAAAATACAGAAGGGATTTATTCCCTGTTTCCCTTTGCATGACAGTGCTGATGCCTGCAGCAGCCTGTAAGAAGAGATTAATCTGTCATCTCCCTTGCCTCCCTTAAAATTTAAATGGTTGCAGCATCATAAATCTTCCCGCAGACTTGCAGAATCGCTCCTCTCATGCGCCCTAGGAGCCTAAGTGTCAGATTAACTGCATGCAGTTATATCAAAGACCTTGTGTCTCCTGGGCAATTCTGGAGGAGCGGGGAGACCTGCACATAGCTTATCGGAGCTGAACGAGGCGCACGAATGCCTTCCCTCGTAGCATGTCTATGCGGCACAGAGCCGCGGCTGCCCGCCCCGTCCGAGCAGCCAAAGTCCGTTCAAAAGCAGCAAATTTCGTTTCAGATTTCAGTTCCAGGGCCAAATCTATGGGAGATGGAGTGATGCAGAGAGCCCACGGGTAGCAGAAACCCCAGGGAAGGAAGGACTTCCACAATTTGGGTCTATCGGCGCCAATTTGACGGCCCTCTCTTCTCACCCCAGCGATGGTCAGCTACCAGACTGGCCAGCTAGAAGCAGGATTCCCGCTATACTCCACCTTCGTGGCCGAAAATGGACCAAACTATGACCAAACCCTGTCCCATCTGCCACCTAGTTTGCCCGGTGCAGGGAGGACTCTCGCTACTGCTGTTGCTCTGCGGTAATGAAGCGACTCCTGTTATTAAGCCCTGACATTTAAACAGCAGCCGCCATCTCATATCAACTCTTGGCTCCTCTGAGCAAGGCTCAGATCTGCTATCAAGGAGCCAAACCAGCCCGTTTTGGGGCTCAGGCCTAGCGCACATTTAAACGGGACTGAGCTCATTCCAGTCCGAGTTCAGAAAAAATTGCAAATAACAGGTCATATTCCCTGCTGGCTGAGGAAAAAATAATGATGGTTCAAGGCCAGCGGAAGTTCAATTTGAGTCCCTTTGTAACGCACAGGGTGGTGGGGTCAGTCTAGCTACAACAGCAAGCGCTGGCCCTGCTCCAACACGCAAACCAAATAATCGACTAGTTTGCATTCCCAACGGGCTTGGCCTGTAGTTGCTATCATTATAAGTATCATTTATTAAATAGTAACGATGCAACAGTACAGTAAATACAGCCCCATATCTGGCCAATAAAACAACCCCTATATTTTAGGCAAGAAAGTCACTTCTTGCTAAATCACTCATAAAAAATCCACTCATGGATTTTTTTTTCTGCTTTAGCCACACATTTGTTCTTTAATCCAGTTTAGTTCCAGACAAGTTGTTCTTCTTGAATTGTTGTTGCCTAATGCTTTAGCAGCCAGAAATAGATCCCACTTATCTGGGGTGTGCATGGGCTTTACCTGAAAACTGTCATTGTTGTCTGTGTTTAAATGTCTCGACGTCACAGGAGCGACCGCCGCTCCTTTGGGTGCGCAGGGAGCGCTGCTCCAGGAAACTCTGCCCCCAGAAGTGACCGAGGACACAGGGGACAGCTGCCTCGTGGGGACACATCCCCCGAGTGCCCCACCAGCCTGCCAAATACAAATCCAAAACGGTGATGCAGGGCCCCAGATCAGCTCTGATTTTCCCCTGCAAAGCTTGTCTCTATACCAAATGCGAAGCAGAAATGTAGAATGCTCTTGGGCTTCCCTAAAAAAAGCCATCAGCCTCACGAAGCCAGAGCCTGTCTGGCAAGCAGCGCAAGCCCATGCAGGTGATTGCAGGTAGTCAAATATCAAAAGCCTTACCGGTGCATGTCCAGAAAGACCTCGGTGCCCAGCACACAGACGGCATAGCTGGCGTGACTGGTGGACACCTGCACGACCTGACGTTGGGGCATGATCCACCGGGGACCACGGGTGCATGTGAAGGAAGCTGCTGCTTGTCTGCCCTGCTCTGTAGGTAAACCAGCACGACAGGATTAAAAGGCAAGGGAATTTAACTCCTCCTTCCTCCCTTCCCTCGATGACTGGGCTACCCAGAGACCCTGCCGTCTCCACCTCTACCATCCCGTGCTGTGGCTCCGGGAAGCTGCACGCTCAGGAGATGAAGGCGATAAGCCAGCCCCTGGGGCTCTCCCATACAGGGAGGGGGCACAGGGTGGAAAGGCAGGATGGGGCCCGGCAGGGCACGGCTTTGCACCTCAGCTCGTCCGGGACACAGAGATCTGCCCCAACATTGTAGCAGTGAGATCTTTGGGGGAAAATTCTCAAGGATTTACTCTGGACTTCCTTATAACTTCATATAAGGACTCCAGAGCTTTATACATTAAACATTTCTACCCATCCTCTTATGCAACGTGGTTGTTTAGGGTTATTATAATACACAGTACCATTAAAATAAAATATTTTCTTTAAAATAACCCAATTTTTCCATCTAGTCTCCCAGCAGGTGACTCACGGCCTCGACTACCCCATTAGGGCAATGCCTGTGTAAAGCACATACCGCTCCAGCAAAAGGAAATGTTTGCTCGGGCTGGTCCTTCCCTTTATAACAACTTCTGATGAATGCTATGAGCAGAAATGGGTGCACTCAGGGCTACAGGGAAAACTGGTTATTTGGCAGGCAGGAAAAAACCCTGCAAGAGGCTTTTGGTGGAAATCAGAGATTCTCACTGATTCGCTTGGACACAGAGAAGAACCGGGGACGCAGTGCACGTTAGCATGGGGTTTTTTTGTGTTGCTGGAGATGTCTGACGGCAAAGTGAGTCTCTGCTCCCCCAGGGAAGGGACCAGCACCTCCAGGTTGATCCCATCGTGCGGCAAACATCCCAGTTGTTGGAACAAATCGCCTTCTGGAGATACTAATCTCTCTCCAGGCAATCCTGGGAGACTTAACTTACTTCTACAGCGTAAAAGTGGGCGATATGAATCTTGCTGCTAGTCATGAAGAAGATTTCCACGGCACTAGGCGCTGGCCCAGGATCTAGACAGCAGTGAAGTGGTTCCCACTTCAAGAGAGGCACGAGTGATGGATAGAGGGAGCAAGCAAGAGCAGGGAAGTCCTAGGTGGCACTGATCCCTGTGAAGACCACACCAATAACCCCGTGGCTGCAAGGTTAATTGTGAATCTCATGTAAACGAGATAGGAAGGGCAATAAGGCAACAGTGCCATCCCCATTTCCATAGGGTAGGGAGATGGGATATCAGGAAGCAATTTTGTTGGAGGCAAATGTACAAGGAGGAAGTCATGCCAAGCAGTAGCTTCATGAGGTAACACAGCAGGACAGGACTAGAATCAAAACACACAGTTTTGTGGGCAGCAGGATCCTTTGCAAAAGGAAAGCCCAAAGTCAGCTTGGTAGAGCTAAGACTAATCCCCATCATCACGTCGTGATGCACGTCCTCAGCTGAGAGAGAGGCTAGCTGGGCTGTTGGGCGAAGCAAAATGTTCACACCCTCTTTAGCAAGACCAAACTAGAGCCATCCCAGCTGCTTTAAACATCTCCAAGCGCACCTACATTTAAGGCTCTTCTGACTGTAATTGTGCCAGTAAAACAGCACGGTGTCTCGTTGGTGAGCACAGTTTTAACAAGACCATGAGAGCTTGCTGGGGCAGCGAGGATGCTCGAGTGGGCTGCGTCGTGGCATGCTAGCGGCACCGCTCTGGGGTCTCCGGGACCCTGCCTGATTTTAGTCTGTAGGCAAAATCTGATGGAGCAAAACCTGGCACAAGCCAAACTTGTGCAGTTCGCAGAAGAATTTTGAGCTTTGTGGGCTTACAAGCCCTACTACGAGAGGAGTGCAAGCGTTCGCACACCCCCAAAACACTTTAAGTGGTCCACTTGGGGCAAAGCAGCGTCAGCACAGGCTCCAAACAGAAGCCTGTCCTGTCCTCAGAGGAAGAGTTTTGCTATACCGAAACCTCTGCCAGCAGAGCATTATGTAACACTGGGAGTTTGATTTCCACGTGTGGCTGCTGGTCGCACTGGTTCAGACTGGGCATGGTGCTGAGCTTGCCGTCTGCTGTGATTTTGGCACTGCATCCTGCTCGGCTGGTTCTGAGACCTGCGCTGGACAGAGAACACACCTTAATCCTCAAGGGGTCATGCTGTTACGATCTGTAATCTGGAGGAAGGTGGAGAACGGTGGTTTCCGGCTTCCAGGGGTTCACAGCTCAGGCTTGCAAGCATGCACTTCTCCCCATGCCAGAGCAGCAGTTCTCCCCACAAACCTGCCCGAGATCCTATCCAGCCGGGAGAGATGGGCTGAAGTCATGGGGCCAAAACCTCAAGTTTGTGTATTGTGCAGCCAGACTCGTGTTTAGTCACGGCACGTTCTTAGCAGCCACGGTAACTCCAGATGCTCTCTCAAGCCTAATCCATACTGTCTTCGTTGGGTGGTAGCTACATTCACCTCTTCTTCCTCCTCCACCTGCTATTAGCTCCGACATGCCCATGCAGCAGTAGGGAGGATTACGATTTTTAAGTCATCTAAGCCTATTCAGTGCTGAGCGTTTCTTCCTAACAACACCTTGTTCCAGGAGGCTGCTATTAAGATTCACAGTGCAGGATGGATCAGAGAGAAGTTGGTGAATTCAGGCCCCTATGATGTGTTGGACACGCAGTTTCCTAGGAAATATGCAGTGCTGCTCCTCTCCATCAGATTCAATTGGCCACGGCAAGCCACCCAAGAGCTTGGCCAGGCTTGGGTTGGGGTTTTCTTCAAGTGTTTTTCTGCCTGCTGTGTCTCCCTTATTCAGGACAAGGTCTCTGAACACTGCTTCTCACCAGACAGCTTTTGTGCAGCCTGTGTCCGGCAGGGATGACACGTTCCCAACAGCACAGGGAAGGATGCCGGCTGCAGGACCGAGCCAGTCGGGTCGTAGCGACCACGGGGACAGGTACTTGTGCCTCGTTTGATGTAATCTCAGCTGCTCTTTTTCCAGCACCAGCCTGGACCTCACCTTGTCCGTGCACCATTAGCCAGGCCAGTAAGACAGCGGAGAGACACAAAACCAGCATGGTACTGCCTGTATCACACCGCTGATGGAGACATCCGATGCTCTGGGCCATGGGACGGGGCAGGACCAGAGTCCCTAGCTGCAACTGGTAGGAAAGGCACCTTTCCGAGGGGACCATTTGGGCTGGAGAGACTCACTGACGCAGCACCCTGGTCTCTCTCCCATTCCACGACCCTCAAGCAACCCACGGGGTCCAACACATGGGGTCCCAAGGCTGGAGGGAGGCAGCTGTGCAGCAAGCATGGGAGGCTGGTGGGCAGGAGCCCCTGCGGTGAGGACCGGCTGAAGGTATCTCCTGCTTTGGTCTTGCCCATCCTCAGACATCCAGCTCCGAGTCAGGTGGCTCAACTGCCTCCTCCGTAATCAGAGGCAGGAGACAGGTGCTTTGAGGCACAGCCGCCTCACCCTGAGGCAGGCGAGCTCGCCGAGATGGAGCGATTCCCCTACCAATACAGAGCCCATTGAGGACAGACCAGACGCTAATCCCTCGTTCTCCCCCGGCAACCCCACAGCTGCCCCGTCTCCCCAAGCCCTAATGGCACTCACCCCGCGGGGCCTTTCTTGTCACCCGTGCTGCCTCGCCACTCCATCAAGGAAAGTTTGGTAATCTCTTTAAGCTGATAATCGCACATTATTTATTACTCTGCCTGCATAATTGCAGGCAGTAACTTTTAAGAGCCTTGTCCTTCAATAGAACAAGGCATTGAACCAGTTATCAAGTCCCGCTCTTGTTTGCCAAAGGATTTATTTCATTAGCTGCGTGGCTGTACCAGACGAAAAGCCTCCTGAATAAGCGCAAAGCTTCCCATGGAGCACGGCAGGAGCACCCTACGTGTCTGTGCTCGGGAGGTTTCAAGAGGTGCCGAGTCAGCTCCCAAGAACCTGCCTTCTCCTTTGCTGCTAACGCGTGGCCAGAGGCCGGGAAGGAAGGGCACAGAGCCTGGTTTGGGTCGGCAACAAAAGCTCCATCCTGGTGAAACCCAACAGAGGCTGGTCCCGATCCTGGCGAAATGGCATTTTTGAGGGAAATGGCTGTCAACTTCTAAGGAGCGTGAGGAGCTGCCATGCAAAGCTGCCAAACTTCACGTCGTGGGATGCACCAGGGCCCATGTCCGGGACTTCCCAGAAGCCAAGAGCAGGGACGGCTCTGCAATCTGTCCTGTCCCGCCTTGCACTACTGGAAAGCCGAGCTCTCCCCTCCACCTTTCCCTCTCCCCTAAAGGAGGGCATCCGAGTGCCCAGCTTCTCATACAGCTGGCAATCAAAGAGCAAACCGCCCCGTGAAGCCTCCTTTCCATCTGGCGTAGCTCAGGAGCTGCGCGCGCGCCCGCAGGAGCTCCGTCCTCACGTGCTCGCTGCGCCGGTACCCCACGCTCTCCCGCAGCTTCGCACAGCACGCTGAGGTGGCTGCCGGATAAACCTATCCCTCCCTAGAGCGTGCTGGATGCCTCCCACGACGGTAGCAATAAACTTGGGGATCTGCTCAGCTTAGCTCAAAGCTCCGGTGGGTTGGTATTGTCCCGCTTGCGGATGCCGCCTTGAAGCCGTGTCGGCTGATTCACCCGTCTGGCGGCTGCACCTCCAGCCTGGCGCCTGCCGCGTGCTTTCTGCTCCCGCGCTGCCGGCCGCCTCCGAGCCTCGCCTGCTCCCCGATCGCAGCTGCGTTCAAAGGACTTCCAAAATAAAGGTGGAAAGTCCCATGGAGGCAACGTCACCTTTTGCGTGCTGCCAGGGGACGGAGGGCGGCTCGCGTGGTGGCTTACGCCCAGCCTGATTCATGTGGGCACCTGTTCGCACCTCCTAAACACAAAGGTCAGCTAGAAAGGACGCTGCGGGGGGACATTTCACTCCTACTCTTTGCAATAAGGCTCCTGTCCCGACATGCACCTCCGAGCGCAGCCGAAGGCTCAGGCAGCCCCGATATCTGCCCGGAGTTTTTTTTTCCGGCCAAACCGCCTGAAACGCTCACCAAGCCACGCAGGTTCACGTCAGGTTTTTCCATCGCCAGCTCAGGGAGCCCACAGGACAATCAGGCCCTTGATCCGGACTCCCAGAAAAGGGCGACTTCAACAGATCCATGGGGCAGAATCGGATCTCAGCACAGCTCGAAGCGACGGATGAGAGATGCCGCGCGGGATCTGAGTGGTTTCGGGCAAAGTTGGAAGAGGTTTCCTATGCTCCACAGCATACGCAGCTCTCTCCTGCAGAGAGGCTTGGTGATGCCAACAGAGCTGCTGACCCCCTCCCAGCCCATGTGCACTAGTTTCTCCATCCGGCCCCGGTCCTCCCAGTGCCAGGGATGAGATGTAGAGCGGTGCCTGGAGCATCGTTCACCTTTGCCGTCGCCCAGGCGGAGGGAGAGAGGAGGGAAACATGCAAACACACATGAATGAACTCTCCAGAGCGTCTGTAAGCTCCTGTACTGATACCTGTTCCCAGCTCCTCTAGATTAGGACATGCAGAGATCAATCAGCAGGGGAAGAGCTGATGCGTAGGAGCTACTAATCTGGCAGATCTGATTTTTAAAAACCTGAGAACTCCTCTGACCAGACTGACTATAGCTGTGAAACCACGAGCCTCCAGACATCTGTGGATATCCATGTATATGTACGTCCCGTGATGGTTTACCATGTCTGATCTCCTCCCTGAAAGCACAAAGCAAAGCCTGCGTCAAGAAGAGCGCTTCTGCCTTGTGAAAACCCCGTTCTCGCTTTATAAACCAAGGTTTATTTAGCAACTGGTTGAGTGAGTTTCCCAGGCTTCACGGCCTGAGACTCACTGGTGCTTTGGCTGGTGCAAGAGGGACGTGAGTCGGGCAGAGCGGGGCCAGCCAACGTGGAGATGTTGGTCCCAGTGCCTCGGGCACGGGGAGGACTCGGAGCCAGCCGAGCGGCCCTTGCGTTTCCAGGCTCCGGGG